CAAAGGGTTGTTGCAATATCCTTCACTGGGGAAAATTCAGTATTTGATTTCAAGGTTGCTTCACGAGATGTAGCTTTGAGTATTTGAGTGTCCATTTCTTGTGGATTTCTATACTTGAAATTCATTCTTCATTTTCTGGTGCTGAGATTATGTTTAATTTGCTTTTTATATAAAATACATAACCCATTTTTTTTGAGACTCGCTTATTTCTTCAACTTCAGTTTGGATTGATATTTCCTCCTGTTTTTAGAGGAATGCGCACCTTCAAATGCAATGAGTTTGCAGATCTGTGGGTAAGCCCGGAGCTACTGGTGTAATTGAGTATATACGTAATTGTTCCATCAAGCCTCGTGACTTGTAAAGGCAAAGCTGACAACAGCATTTCTGTAGCAAGTAGATACCGTATAATTTAGGACTAATAAATAATCTACTTTGGAATGACATAAACATACATTTCATGAAATCTTTTTGATTTCAACTTTGGAAGAGGTGACAAACACAAATTTGCATTTGTTAATTGAAACTCATTTCACCATTGAAATGCTGCACAATGCAGAGGTCAAAGAATTGAGAAATTTGCATTTCATAATGGAAATCCATTGTATGATTCAAATGACAACTAATCACCTGGCCTCGATCCAGTAATTTGTTTTCGTGAATTGAAGCCAAGCTTTCTTCTGTGGTTCAAAAGATAGTGGTCTGCTGTTGTGTTGGTACAAGGCCAAGCTTATCACCAGTGATCTTTCTCTCACTTCAAGCCTCCAATCTTTTTCGTGCTCAGTTTCAAGAGTTTGCTTGCTGCCTTTCTAGTTCCACTCAACTTTATTAATGCTGCTAAGCTTACAGTATCTCTGAACTTAGGGGTGGATATTATATGCAAATAACTGATGTAAATTAAGATAGTACTATCATTTGGGAATTATATTGTACATCCACTTGTATAATGGTACAATTAATTGTACATTCGAAAATTTCTAAAGTTTTAGTGCATGTAGTTTTGTGTCCATCAACGGAAAGATCCTGAAACCTTCATATGCTTTGGACAGGTTTCATCTAAGACACAAATTATCTAACTTTATCTGAGTCCAGACTGTATATATGTAACTCTTTTTTAACAGCAGAAACAATGGTTCTTTTGGTGGTGTGTACTATAGAAGCTGGAAAAAAGAATCTGTGCAATGAAGATAATGAAGCAAAGTCTTAGGACATGTTAGCTCCTCAAATGCATTCTATTTTTTAAGAGGAGATATTTACAGCAAAGAGGTGCCTGCCACCAAGGAGCAATACTGTGTGCTGCCTCTTCCTAGCTCTTTTTTTTACTCACATGCCTGACTAAGTGCAGGCGATATCATCTACACTTGACAGCATTTGCATTTCACCATTAAATAATAATAATCCTTGCATTTGATGTAGCTCCTTATCATGTTTTCGACATGTCTCAAATTTCACTATTAAAGGTTGTAAATGAAATCCAAGGATTATTGTTCAGTCTCTTTCCAACAAATCTCTTGTTTTGCCAAACAATTACTGATGCATTTTACCTCCTCTTTTCGATCTTGGTGCTTTAGATCCCTTAATAAGATGATTAGGACACTAATGAAAAGCTGGTGAATATTCCTGTTCTTCTTTTCACAAGTATGTATGAGGGCCTTCAAGCAATAGGATTCTTGATTCCACGCTATGTTTTTAATATTTAATCCAGCATTCAAGCAAGTCCTTTACTATTTATGTGACTTTTTTCTGGTGTATAGTATTTAACCTAGTTTTTAATTCTACATTTTCGCTGCCATTTTGTTGTTTGGTTAAGAGATGGATTATTAGTTTATTACAATAACTTTCTGTAAATCTGTCAATTTCCAAAAATGGCTGAGGGACCTTTTTAGAAGGTAATATTGAGAAGACCATGCAGTTCCTGAAATTTTACTGCTTGTGTTCCAGTTTTCATATGTATCTTTCTTGAGCTTGTTTTCTGCTTGTAGTACTGTGTAGTTGTGTGCTTCAATAAAACTTTGCCGATAGCATGAGGAAAGTGAGCACTGCATGAAAATTGTCTGGGATTTAACAGCAGTGGGAGTTACATGACTGGAAGAACAATATAACAGGACTTGTATTGTGGTGGAAAGTTGTGTTTGCTGCTTTGCTTGAAATGGAGCCATGCAGTGCGAGTACTTTGCTTGAGCTGCACCAATATGAAAGTTGACAGGAAATGTCCTTTCATGTAGCTCAAAATGTTGAATACAAAATGTGACCATCAATGAATGCTGTACGACTAATTAGCCACTCAGAGCTGAAACATTGTCAGAAATCGCATGGATCGGCTTCTTTGCATAAATAAGCTTTCTATTCTAAATACTCCTAGCTTGATTTGAAATATGGCCCTGAATATTATTTGCAATGTAAATGATCCATGGATGAAATGCCTTTCATTTTGAAGTGTTGTAAACAGACTAATATGCCAAGTTTCTTTCTCTTTCTAAGCTTTTCTGCTGGTGTAAATCGCAAGGACGGCCTATCTCCGTCTCTTTCTTCACTTTAGTAAGAGCTTATAATCCTTGTATTTGATATAGTGCTTTTCACGTCTTCCAGATGTCTCAAAGCACTACACAGAATATACCGTAAAGTGACTGTATATTTGTGGGCGAAACACGGCAGCTAATTGCACACAGCAGTGGATTAAAGTGACCAATTTATTACTGTTTTATTTTCTTGAGGGATTATTATCAGGCGTGTGGATTAAGTAAACTTACTCAAGGTTTTGCCCTGCTGGGAATCGAACCCAGGTCTCTTGCTTGCAAGGCAAGTGCTCTAACCACTGAGCTACAGGACCCCACTAGTTTTGCTACCATGGAATCTGGGGTCAACTCAACCTACATATAGCGTATCTTCTTCACTGCAGCACTGTAACCAAGTTTCTGTTGCATTTACATTATAAATCAATTGAGACATAAAAAGCTTGTGTGTGGTAACGACAACAAAGTTAACACTAGGATGGACAAATTGGACAGAATTTTTCTCATGAAATACACTATGAAAAATCATTGAATGCAACTGCCTCTCAATCCAACGTGTATGCATTTTAGATTAGATTATCTGACCACACAGTGCACTCTAGTTTCATCCAAAACAATACCATTGTGTTTGTGAAGTTACTTACATTTTAAAGGAAGCCAAAGCACCTGCACATTACTGAAGTGACTGAATCTGCCGTCAGAAGTGTAATGCAATGAATTATTTTCAATCTCAAACAAAGTTTTCATTTCACATACCATTCCATCTATGCGGGTCTTGTACGAGACTAGCAACAAAGTAATGAATTGTAAACCATATCTTCCATGTGAACTAAGTTTCATTAAAACTTGAAATGCAACAAATCAGACTTCCACAAGACAAAAAACAAAAAGCTTGTGGTTGGACTGGCTTTGGAATCAACTTGCTCCCAGTCGCAATCGGGAGGGGACTGTCACATACTTGGTCAGTAGCAAAAGATAATCTGATCATGATGCTATTAGTCTCAACGTAGTAAATTAACCTGACTTTAATTTTGAATGCACTCGTGCAAAGTCCAGAGGTGAAAAAGAAGTGTGCTGCCTTCCAATTCAATATTAACGTAATTGCCAAAGACTGGATAATGCAGTGGGTTAGAACGTGTCAGAGAGATGACGCAAAAGTCTTTGTGTTGTTTGCTCAGTGTTCCAAGAAAAATGAGTGGCATTCTTCACTCAATTGTGAGTGAAACTTGAATGAAGCCACCCTTCCTTGTTTGAGGTAGCTTTGAACTGCCTTGCCTAGCACAATGCCAGTCTTTGGCCTGGAGGCTTCACATTATATTGGAAAGAAAAATGAATGGCCTGCTATCTTTTATTTACCCAATCGTCAAGAAAGCTGCCTTTCTGGAGTGACCTAAGGGAGCTGAGGTCCTGCTGTTGATCTTCCATCTGGAAGCAAAACAAGATGACCTTAGAGGAGTGACGGCACAAAAAGAGTACAAGTCGATCATTATAACATGAGGTATCCAGTCCAAAAACGTAGATGCCCAAATTAGTAAAACGTCTACGAAAAATGACTGCCAGTACTGCTTCTGAGTCACTTTCCCATGGATTTTGCCTGCAAGCAAACATGCTCCTGAACTTATTGCAATCGTCCATTTCTGTTCAGAAAATAAATAAAAATTGGAAGTAATTACTGAAGTGTATTACCTATAATGCCTATGAGGCTTACTGTGCGTCCCCCATCCCTCCGCGCCAACATCGCCTCGCCCCCTCTTTATCTTTAAATCCACCTTGAGGTGTATCACTTTAATTGATCACTTCCCCCTCCTCCCATGCTTAGTATCCAACCCCACCCCTGTGTAGCTCTCCAAAATGTTATTCTGTGTGAAGGGCGCTATAGAAATGCAAGTTGTGCGCACAGTAACCAATTATTTAATCAGTGTGTTCAAGTTGTAAACTATTTTTATAGCACTCCAGCATTCCGAACCAGATTGCCTTGTTCAGAGAAATGGTCTTGGCAGTGGTTGTTGAAAGCCTGCCAGGCATGCTGTGCCAGTGTAGGTGTGTGCCTGCGGATTTTGAATTAATCTTGCTATATTGGACAAGCCACTTCAGTGAATTAATATCACATTTTATTAACATGCATCTCATTTTTCTTTACAAACTTATAAACAGACCAATGAAAGCTACATATTTACTTCTGTTTGCCATTGTTTATTATCTGGATTGCAGTTACATTTTTAAAAAAGTATCTTGTCATCTGCTTGGAATGAGTATTCTCAAGTTCGGAGGTGTTAGTCTGTTCCTGAAGCCTAATTTTCCATTGCATCCAAATTAATGTTTCCTAATTTTTTTAAATTTATATATTTATACCTTCTCTTACCCCCCACCCCCGTGCCACCCATACATATCAAATGTATTTGTTTCTGGCCTTCAGTACATTGTATGTTTTTCTAATGTTGTGCTGTGGTTTTGCACTTTTAGTTAACTTTCCTTTTGTTTGACTTGCAGTGCTGAGACCACGGTAAGATGACGGAAGAGGTGGTAGTGATCGCCAAGTTTGACTATGTGGCCCAGCAGGAGCAAGAGCTGGATATAAAGAAGAATGAGCGATTGTGGCTGCTGGATGATTCAAAGTCATGGTGGCGGGTTCGAAACTCCACAAACAAAACTGGCTTTGTACCTTCAAATTACGTGGAAAGAAAGAACAGCGCCAGGAAGGCATCAATTGTGAAGAACTTAAAGGATACACTAGGTAAGATTAATTACTTTAAAGGTTTTACTTTCAGGAAAATATTTGTCCAGTGACGAGGTCATCCAGTTTATTTTCTGACAAACTCTTCAATACTGTGCATGATTTTGCCCCTGACAAATGTTTTCTCTCCCATGATTTGAAACCAGATGGCAATCTCTCTAAGCATCCGAAAGGGTACAGGTTGATAAATTGCTGTAATGGAAGATGCGAGTCCAATTTTAAATGACAAAAACCTGGATTCGTGGGCGGGTGAGGGGCCAAAATGTGCTGTGAAAAAAACTTACAGTGCTGAGTGTTATGCACTTTTGAGCCATATGTTGTTCCAAGCATCTTAATAAAATTCCTTATTGCTGTCCAGTGTCGCTTGCTGAAGGGTGTGTGGACACACACACTCAATCACATGTGTCGTGGCAAGAGAATACACTCTTCTGCTGTCTTTCCTGATGTCATTTGCTGTGTAGACTTGTGCGAAGATTAGCCACTTGAGAGAGGTGCTGGAGAATACCCAGCAGCATGGGTTGGCCTTTTTTCGAGTAGGGGAGGACATGTATTGGCTTACTAAGTTTATGAGCTTAAATTGTAAAACTAGAAATCCCTTTGTTACCAGAACGTGTGAATTTTTCTAATTCGTATTCTGTGTGGCTCACAAACGTAATTTGAACACATTTGTTATGTAAAATATTTGTCCTCAATTCCACTAACTTGCTAAAAACAAAATTCTCATCACTATATTCATGCATAATAAATACTACAATAAAACAAACAAAAGTTGGTTGAAGTCAGCATTTAGTAATTGGTCAGGGCCGAGTGTGTGCTCAATGTCCTGGTTTCATTTTGCACTCCTATTTTCCCATGAACTGACTTAAACTAAGTATTTTTGTTAGACTGAGTTCTTTAATGTTTATTACAGTTTTTTTTATATTTCTCTACCCTCAAGCCCCATTATTATTAAGCACAAAAAAACATTATTCAGATAACTGCTGCATGTTTGTTTGGGGATACATTGAGTTTCAACACAATCTTTAATGCGAAGTGATACTGCACTGTAGCATTGTATTCCTCAAAAAATGCATCTATGACAATTTATTTATACTTCAACACACTGTTCCTGTAGATTTTTCTCATCTTTTTGAAAAAGAATATGCAGCAAGTGTGGCAAGATATTTCAGTAGGAGTTGCTTGAACCTCCTTCCTGTGACCATTTCCTCTATGCTCACCATTGCCAGGGTGGAAATGCTATGGTTTTCCTGGTCTGTATTGGGCCCTGTTACTTGATCTGTGCCAAAATGACAGAAGCAAACAGTGTAACTGGAAAATGCCTTTAGCAAGTTGTTATAGGTAACCCTATAAGGAGAACGAGCAACACTGTAATATGTTGTACACTACCTTGGTAAGTAATTGCAGTTTGAAGCATCCATCTCAAAATGACATGGAAGTTTGCCGCAGCTTAATCTTTTTTTTTTAAAAATGAGGTGAATATGTTGAGTTAGCAAGAATGGCCTGAGGCACATCTTTCATCTGTCTCTGTGGACACTTTTGATGGAAATGCAAATGAAATTTTACATTTATTATTTAATTCAATAAAGAGTAGACTTCTTAAACATGATCTGAATTGCATAAGGCTTGTTTTAACAGGTCTGGCATTTTTCATAAGAGAATGGGGGAAAAATGGAAATAAAGATACCCACACGCGAATGTGATAATATTACACCTTTCCAAATCGAACGCTCTGGGTCTTGGCCTGCTGCGTTCAAGCTAATTGTAGATTTAGTTACAAACCAGCATTTCTGTTGTGCAATTAACTTTCGGAAGACACGATTTAAATATTTTCAGTTAAATAAAAGATGCAACTCCTTTGAGCTTAACATCAAATTGCAGTTCCTCATTCATTATCTTAGGCTTTCCCTATAGAAGTATGCCAGGCCAGACATGTTGGGGAGCTGCTGAAGCTGCTGTATTGAATGAATAAAGTTAGCGTTAGTTGCTGATTTGTCTGGGCTCACCTCTTCCAAACATACAGGTGTCTCTCCCAAGAATACTGCTGTGATGCTGCCAGTGCCATCACAATTCCTTTGTTATGTACCACAAAATGCACAAGCTTGGAAATTGTATGAATGCTTTGCATGCTCAAGAGTATACTTTACTCAAATTGGCCGTGGGAGAGAGCTTGGAATGCAGTTCAACAAATATTTCACCAGCTTGCCACTGTGCTTTACTAAAGTCCCAGTGACCACCCCTGAATACTCTAGAATGAGGAATAACTGTGTATGCTGGAAATAAAAGAGAAATCCATCTAGGTCAATCCATGGATAGGTTAACCTTTTTGCCATCCAGAGGTTGATTTGTACTGCAACATTTTTCTTTATTTGCTGCTATTTTGTGAAATGCTTCTGTTCGATAAAGTAGATTGTTTAGTCTCAACGAACATTCATGATAAAATTAGATCATTTTAAACCGGTGTCCCATACACATTTCTGAGTTTATTTTGCCTTGTGCAGCGTAGCAAAACATAGTTTACATTATTACTCGTGATATAATATTATTGTGCATCTCTACAATGAGCCAATCTTCAAATGTAGAATTCTTCATAGAACATTCCTTCCTAGAACAATAGATTGACTATTTCCCTCACTCTGTTCCCTCATGGCCCCACAATGGCTGCTTGCCAATAAACACACAGTCACTACACTTTACACAAAATTACTAAAGCTGTGAAGGGCTTTGATAAGTTTTAGTGGCGTGAATAAATGCTGTATCAAATGCAAGCTTTGTTATTCCATCCCCTGGAATTTCAGCAGCAAAGGTAAGATTTTGTTCTGTCAATGTTGCATGTCTTCTGCGCTTTAATATGTATGGATTTATCTGCCCCTGAACAGCTGGCTAAAAGATTGAACACCAGACAAACTGCTTGCAATGTGCCTCTCTAGATGATCAATTCTAACATTCAGCCATAGATCCCTTGTGATTTATGGTCATTACTATGTTCACATCTTTACTGATGTGCTATTTGTGCTTTCCTTGAACCTCTCCTTAATTTGGAATTTCAAGTCGCACATTCCCAAGATTGGTTCCAATGAAGATGTTCTTTTGGCCCATTTGATCTCATCCTTCAGAATACCAGCTCTACGAGTAACCCATTAAATCTTCAAACTGAGTCGTACAGTCCAGTACAATCTTAATGCAACATACAACTTGAAAACGTCAAAATGTTGTTTGATGAACGTTTAAACTGAGTCACAGAAAAACAAGCAAATCAAACAAGTTACTTTAGTCCCTTTGAGTCAAATGCTGCTTTTTTGATTTAGAGCCTCGTCTAGTCTCAAGTCAAACATTGTATTTCCTTTGGAGGCTAATTAACTGCCACTTTGGAGTCATTAAAAGTTTTCACTAGCTGAACAGATAAGGATAACCAAAAAAAGGGATTTATCAGCAAACATCCATAGTCATTCATTCTTTTGTTCAGAAACTATTTTTAAAACTGTTTTATCCTCTAAATGTGGGATGACCAAAGGCAAGTCATTCACTGGAGTTTTTTTAAGGTCTAGGCCTGCTGTTAGGTTTGTGTTCAAACCACACGCTTCCTGTCTTAGTTATCCACGGATTCCTGTGGTGGTGTACAGCTCTTTCCTGTCCTTTTTCAGTACGCTGTTCCATCCTTTTCATCAATCACCCCGCCGAAGAAATACAACAGTGAAACTCTCACAGAGAAATATTTCCACTGCTTTGCATAGGTTTCAAATCCCTCTGCAGTTTTTTTTCCCCCCGCCCAATAAAAAAAAGTGCAAATGCAACCAGAACTTGAGTGCAGAGGGATCCATCTGAATGCCCATAGGCCTCTGACAGCTGCCCACTTAATGGTAGTCTGACAATATATTGTGATTCAGTCTCGAATGTACATTAGGATCTTACCTGAAGCCAATCTCAAAGGCTGTGATGATGGATTGGTTTCATTGTGGGTAAATGTCATTGATGGGCTGACGCTCTGCCCTCACCATGAAAATTTTTATTTTCTCCTCCTAAGTCATTTGTGTCTGAATCTACTGAGGGTGAAGATGGGTTAATGGCATTCAGGGAGTCTTGTGTTTAAGCAAACAGAAATCCAATTGTGCTGGGGACAGGGGACTAAGGTCTGGGTATCATCTAATTCTTTAATGAGTCTTCCATGTTATAAATAATTTTCTTCATATGGAATGACCTTTACAAAATGGATCAATAAACTGCCATTATTTCATGCATGACTTCCTCGGTAACTGGCATACCATTTCACTGAGAGAGATGCAAGGCATTTTTCAATAAATGCGTACTGACCACAAATGCTCCCATTATTTGCCTAATACTTTTTAATTAAATTGACGTGGCTGAACAGTGTAACAAACCTGCAAACTTTATATTTGTGAATCGGTCTAACCTTTAGCAACTTTCTTCCTTTTTGCTCCATTCACACTCCACAAAATTGAAATGCCAAGTATTTCTCTGAATGGTGCCAATAAAGATATGGACTGATGTCATTTGGAAAACTTTTGTTAAGATCAGAGCTTATAGCAGTTAAGTAATGTTTATTTTGCAGATTTAGCCAAGGTAAGAGGGAGCGTCTTAAAATAACCTTTATTCGATAACGTGTTTGATAGATTTCACAAATGACTGATTTAGTATGACTCTTCCCAGGTTACTTATTAGCAAAATTTACAGGCGGAGGAATTAACCTTTCTCCATGTTGGTGTACTTAGTAAGGTGCAAAATATAGTCGCTATAGTTATTTATTTTACAATAAATCCTCTGAAGTCCTTTGAAATGTCCTCCCAATGTGTAATCAAATGCAAGAATTAACTATACCAAATGCAAGAATTATTATTATAAAAATATCAATTGCAAGAGTTGACCTGAAAGATTGAAACAGTTGCTTTTGTCATTGGAAGTGGAGTAGCAATGGCTCGAATAGTTATTTTTCCCCCCCCTTTGGGGCCTATTTGTGAAGCAACTTTCCTTCGAGACAAATGGCA